GGTGGCACTCGGCCCGGCTCTGCAGCAGCTGCTGCCCTCGCGCCTCCCGCTCCTCTTCCAGGTGGCTCTCTCGCTCCAGCTGCTGGAACTCCAGGTCCTCAAACAGCTTGGACTCCGTCTCCAGTGCCTCTGCCTCCTTTGAACACATGAGAGCACTGTGAGTGGATCACACTCACTGGATGGGCACCTCCGCGTCCTGCAGGCAGGTCTCCCCCAGCAAAGCCTCCTGCCGTGCCTCCACATCCTACTGGTGCTGGCCAGGAACAAGAGCTGGTGGCCAAGCCTGTCCCCTGTGCCTGGTGTGGCAGGCAGGCAGTTTTGCCCTCTGCTGGGCATCAGAAGCACAAGAGATTCTGACAGGAGTGTCTGCAGACAGAAGAAGGCAATGGAGGCACCCAGAACTGGCCAGCACAGAGCAGTCACCCCCATGAGATGAGCCTGCCACAGCCAGGGGCTTTGCCAGACCTCACAGACCAGCTGCCCCTGCTGAAGCACACAGGGGCTAAAGCCGTGCCCTGACAGGTAACAAAACACCAGCATAACCACCAACAGCAACACTGTGTCACCAAGCCTGCAGGTGGCAAAGCCCCAACAGACAAGCACCATGCTGGACAAACTCCCGTGTGTCCTTCCAGCCTTCATGCACCGACAGCACGTGGCAGCACTCAGCTCAGGCCTGCCAGTGCCATCCTGGCAGCCAGTGTGCCATGCACCCCACGGGGATGTGTTTCACCCTGCTCCATGAGACAGGCAGCCAGTGACACAGCACTGATGTGCTGGCTCCTGAGGGCTCCCACACGCAGACGCTGCTCCAGCAACCCCCCTGCCCACTCTACACCAGATCCTCATCCAGAATGTGAGTGCCTGGCGGGAGCAGGCTGTGGCAATGTGGGTTTATCTGAGCAGGCACTAGCCCTGGGCTGGGGAAAGTCAACCACTTCCAGAAAATACCAGGTAATAGGAAAAATGCTGAGGACTAGCAGTAACACGTATCAACATGACTGTGTAAATGAACATTCTCAGGATATAGCTGGAGGCAGCCAGATGAGGATGCAGCAGCCCCCAAGGCTCCCCAGCCTGCCCTCCTTGCAGGGCAGGGTCCATGCCGGCGCCCTGCCCGTCCCGAGGAGCTCTGCCGAGCGGGCCCCGAGGAGCTCTGCCGAGCTCTCCCGCGCCCCGGGCGAGGGGCAAGCTTACCAGGACGGTGGTGCCCGGCGCCAGCCGCCTCCAGCCCGGGCGCGACGCTCCCAGTGCAGCCCGGCTGGCAGGGAAGAGCTGGCCTAAGCTGGAGCGGAGGGAGGTGGGCCATGGTCCGGGAGGGGTGGGGGGAGACACTGACCCTTCGCATCTGCTCCTGCAATTGCTCCCGCATTGACTCGGGGCACTTAGCAAGGTGGCTCTTCGACTCATGGTAAAGCGCCTGGAGTTGCTCTAGCTCCTTCCTTTCAGCATCAACCTTTGCCCTTTCCTGAATTAGGGGAGAACAAGACAAAACAAAAAAAAAGGAAAAGAAAAAGGAAAAAAAAAAAAAAAAGAAGACACACTTCTCAAATGGGCGCCATGCAGAAGCTGTGAGTTAGAGAGGAGCTCAGCTGGAGACAGAGGGGGCTCAGGAGAAGGAACAGCATGGCAGCTACAAGGGGATCCAGAGATCAAGAGACACAGGAACTGGCTGAGCAGTGTTAGAGGAGTTACAGCCAGCCCCTGACCTCAGTTTTGTGTTTCCAAGAACAAACTTGCAGGCAGCAAAAAGATCAACGCTGATAGTATGGTTCAGGTCATCCCAATCCTGCACACAGCTGCATCACAATAACCACTAACTGGCTTTGTTAACTGCTACCAGTTAGGGACTGCAGGTCCTGAATGCAGGAAGAGAAGGTCATGGACCACCCTCATCCATTAGAAGGAGAGGGCAGCAGTGAAAAAAGGAGGCTGTGGTCCAGCAAGAGATGCTCAGGCTATGATGAGCCAGCAGCAGAGCAGACACTGACTCCTGGGCTGGGATGAGGGGCCTGACCACAGGTGCAGTAAAATGGGGCCAGCAGCATGGGACTGGCATAGGGGAACCACCCACAGGGTTGGCGGTACCATATGGGGGCTTGGCATTGAGAAATGCTTGCTGCAAGGAACCCTGTGCTCCACACAGAGATGGAACATCATGAAAAGGGCTACGAGGGGACATGCTGGCAGGGAGGCAAGGCTGGTATGGGCAGATGCCCCAGCAGAGGAGCAGTGGATTGCCTGGGGGCTCCTAGATGTGCAGAGATGTCAGAGGTGATGACAGAGTTCAGGCACTGTTAGTGTGAGCAGCGCAGATGGGTTAGGAAAGTGGGTGGTTAGGTCAGCAGAGAGGCTGGGAGAGGGCTTCCCCTGTGCTCCTCTCCTGGCTCTGCATGAGGCTGTCCCTGGCTACAGAAGATACCTACAAAGGGCTGGAAGACCAAAACCAGAACAAAACCCCCAAATGCTGTAGGAGCATCACTGGGAGGCACCAATGGCCACTCTGCCAGGCCACAGGCATCCCAACAGCTCTGGCACCCACAGCCACCGCCACGGGGCAGGCCAGACCCCAAGGGACACTGATGCCACATGAGGGTGGCACAGAGCTGCTGGTGGGACCTCGGCATAGGCTGCACAGGACAATGACCTCCAGCAGCAGGGATTGGATCCCAGCAGCTTTCCTGTCAACAAGGCCATGCCACACTGCCTGCAAGGCTGTGGGACAGTCAGCAACCAGCAGCTGGGACAAACATCCCACACAGGCAGCGCCATGGGTGCCTTCGGGCAGTAACTGCACTACAGGAAACATCGGGCAAAGGGGGCCAGGACCCCCTCCTAAACCCACCAAGATAAACACTGCAGTGGTTTTCCAGCCACCGCCAGCAAGCCAAACACTACAGCAACAGCTGCCATCACTCATGAAGGTGCAGCAGAGTGAGGTGACTTGCTGCAAGACACAGTTCCCCAGCAAGGACAGGTAATGGGGAGAGCCAAGGCCTCTGCTCCAGCACTGCCCATGGCAGGCAGCAGCCGTCTGGAAAGCCTCACACCAGTCTCCCTGCCAGAGCAACAGGCAGCAGCCGAAATGCTTCCTGAACATTGGCTGTGCTCTCCTCCAGCAGGGCTGTTTGACCAAGCCCAGGCAGACAGACAGACAGACAGACAGACAGACAGATCCCCCCACAATGCAAACCACAGGGACTGCTCTCCAAAGCCTCTGTGGAGCCCGGAGTCTGGAGAACGTGTCCGCAGGGAAAGGCTGCAGCATGAGGCATTGCAGCACGGGCTGTGAGTGCCAGGGAGAGTATGGCACAGCTGGTGACAGTGGGAACCTGTGACTGGGCCCACCTTGTCCCGCTCCTTGCGGATGCTGGCATCCAGGCTGGAGAGCTTCTCCTGCAGCTGCTGCGCTGCCTCCTGCTCCTGCCGCAGCCGCAGCACCTCCGACTCCCGCTCACCCTGCAGCAGCGCCCGCTCCATCTCTGCCTGCACGGACAAAGCAGCGTCAGGACTGCTGCTCCTGCTGGATCTAGCTCATACCCTTAGGGTTTAGTGCTGACTGGTGAGGGCAGCAAGCAGCAGGGGACCCAGCAGTGTCCCCTGAGCTCTCACCTCTCGTGATGTCTCCTGCAGTTGCTGCTCCAGCTCCTTGACACGACCCTTCAGCTGCTCCAGGCGTCCGAGGACACCAGCACGCTCCTCCTCCAGCCGCTGTGCCTCCTTGGCCCGGGGTCCTGTCAGCTTCTCGTGCTGTGGAAGGGGCTGATTGGCATGGCACGGTGCAGCATGGCATGGAACAGAATGGCACAGATGTCCCCTTACCTCGTGGTGGGTACTCTCCGTGCTGCTGCACTCCTCCTTCAGGTTCTCCTCATCTGATCTCTCCACACTCTCCCTCTGTTGCAGCTCTTCGACAGCGTGGCCCAGAGCTATGGCACCCCTGGGCGCCCACTGGCCAGCATCCGTGTCACCAGCCAGGAGCCTGTGCGTGTCACCGGGCTCAGTGCCGTCTGTCTTGGTGTACTCAGCACAGAGGTTCAGGATGGTCTCCAGGCGCTGACGCTCCTGTAAGAAAGGATGGTCCCCATCCAGCACGCGCTGTGGCAGGAGCAGACAGAGCTCCGTGCCAATGGTGGCCATCAGAATACGGCCCCGCACAGTGGGGTGGGCAGACAACGTTACAAAGCACAATGCAGCCAGCTCGACCCCACAGCAGAGGCAGGCACGCGATGTGCTGGAGCTGGAGACAGACTGATGACAGGCAGCAGTGCCAGCTGCCGAGCGCCACCGCTATTTCCAGGCAGTGACTCAGGCTGCCTGCACCAGGCGTGAGTCAGGGCTGAGCAAACACAGCCCTGGCGGCTCAGCCCGGCCTGCAGGACTGCCAGAGACACGGCAAACCTCATCCAGGCAGATGCCAGTCCCATAAAAACTCCATCAGCCCTAAATATAGATGCAACATCCACAGAGCCACAGCACCACCACCAGCAGATGGGCCCTGGCAGGGATGGACAAGATGTGGAGAGTTTTGCAAGGGGCACCACCATTTTGGCCAACAGCCCTGGGACCATGCCAGCCCCACCAGCTTCCACAGGCTGCTGTAAGCCGGGGGCTTTGTATTCCCAGAGAGCTACTGAGCACCGATGGCTGCTCCTGGCCATAATCCCCCTGGATGAGCCGGCAGCCTGGCAGCTGTGGCAAATCCCCAAGAGGCAAAGGCCAGGTTTCAGAGCAGCAAACAACAACAGCTATTTGCTAAGAGGGTGTCCCACAGTCAAATGTGTCCCCTCCCAGCCCCAAGGCTCACCAGGCGCTCCATCTCCTGCTCCCGAACCCGCTCCTGCCGCTGCCGCCGATGGTACTCCAGCAGTTCATCCTCATTGTCACTGATCTCAGTGATGCTGTTCTTGCGCTCCCGTGAGCCCGCTGGCAGCCGTGGGTCCCCCAAAGGCTTCCTGGGGGCGCGGGGGCTCTGCCGGGGCGAGGGCACAGGCGGGGAGCCCAGCCCATACGTGGGGCTCAGGCAAGTACTGAAACTGGGACGGCGCGTGGGGTTCTCTGCCAGCAGCGGGGGTGAAGGACCCCCAGCACCTTTCGACTCCTCCGGGCCCTTGCGCCTGGCACGGGGACTGCCAGGCACGTCCCTGCCCAGCCGGGGCTGCGGGGAGGGGGCGTCAGGGGCCAGCCGGGGGCTGGCAGCCCGGCGTGACAAGGAAGGACTCAGGGGAGGCAGCTCCCGCATGCTCTCGAGGTTCCTCCGGGCGACCCGTGGGCTCTCGGGGGGCTGCAGCCGGGCCTCTGGGGCTGCCCTGCTGGCGGGCTGCCGGCCGGCGGCCAGAGAGTCCCGTGGCTCCCGGAAGGGACTGGGGGGCCGCTCCTGCAGGGCCACCCGCGGCCGCGGCGCCACCCTGGGCGTCAGCCGGGGGCTGCCCCCGCGGTGGTCCCCGAGCCTCTCAGCTGGCCAGGGCTCACCAGAACTGCCAGCAGGCAGAGTGGGCGGCTGGACAGTATGGTTGTAGCTGGAGGAGCGCAGTGGGAGAGGGGGCGGCACGGCCGGGCCTTGCTCTTGGCTGCTGAGTGAGGGGCTGGTGTAGCTACTGCTGCTGGCTGGGGAGGAGAGGGGAGAGAAGTTCTCATAGCTGGAGCCCCCTGAGGCAGCCCCAGGGCTGGGTGGGGGGGACAGGAGGCAGCGGCCACCCCCGTTCACCACAGGGGAGAGGGGGGATCGGCCGCAGGCAGGCGGCTTCTGGATGCCAGGGGTTGTGGATTCCTCCAGCACCAGTGAGTCCATGATGTCCTGCAGGTCCTTCTCAATGGAACTGACAAGGGAGCTGTGGCTGTGACACCCACGCTCTGACAGCTGGTGGCCACCATTCAACAGGGCCTCGGATTCTGCAGGGAAACAAAGGAGAAGGCATCAGGGTGGTGTGACTCCACCGCAGCCCCTGCCTGGGTCGGGTCCTATGGGGCAGCCTGGCATCATTCTTACACCTTGCAGAGTCAGAGCTGGGTAGCAGCCCCTCTCTGCTGTCCCCCTTCCCACTCCAGCCGGGACAGGGAGGAGGCTGGAATCCTGCTAGTCCCATCACCCAGGAGACAGAAACCTGAGAGGACAGCCACCCTCCCTGCATCGAAGCTCCCTGCTGCACTCCCTGGAGAGCAGCTGCCCTCAGCCCCCACTGGCACCCACCACTTGCCCCCTGCACACTCTGGCTTCCCAGCAAGGGGCCAGAGATGCAATAGCCAAAGGCTGCTGACCTGGCACCACGTCCAGACCCACCACCAGGTCGCCCGCAGCCTGCCCACAGCCCGGCCAGGGTGCCCCTGCCTGGGCTGCCCCTGCTCCCTGCGCAGCACCGATGTGCCTGTCACTCAGGGCGCCAGCGAATGGCAGCAGCGTGCAGCCCAGCCAGGACAGCGTGCCACCCGGGCTGCGTCACCCCCTGGCACCCAGCGGCTCCCCACAGCAGCTGGCACTGCCTTCATCCTGGGAAGATGTGCCACAGCCCTGTCAGTGGGATCCCACCCCGTCCTGCATGGCAGAGAGTGGGCACGCAGGGCCCACACGGGATGCTGCATGGTTGCATGATGCTCCCCGGCCACAGCACCTCCCTGAGCCCCTCCTCCCGTCCCCAGCTGCGGGCATGCTGCCTTCCCAACACACACGTGGCACGGGAAGGCAGCCAAGCTCCTCTCCCTGTGCCAGGGCGTGCTGGTTGGGGCAGGGATAAGGGCTACCAGCCCGGGGATCAGCGCTGGAGATTTGGACATCCCCAGGAACCAGGCACAGTACTGGCTCCTGGCCCACTGCTCCACGGACAGGCAGACACAGCAAGATAAGCTCATGAGATGAAGGGCAGCAGCCAGAAGAATGGCCTTCACAGCCCCAGCACATAAACACCCGCCTCCAAGCAATGGGGGGGCTCCGACGGGCGATGGCTCTGCCACGGCCAGGCTGGGCAGAACTGAAAGCCATGCCTCAGTGCCCCCACAGTCAACCTCTTTGAGGGGATATTAATCATTAACAAATACCAGTGCAGCTGCCATACCGTGCTGAGCTGAGGGATGGCACATCATAGCTGGGTGTGAGCCTGAGTGCAACAGGACAGGGCTGGGAGAGCACTGGGCAGGCTGATGGGTCAGGGAGCACTTCAGCATCTGCCCTGCCCCACCAGGGACAAGGGGGGGGTCACCTACTTGCTGGTAGCCCATAGAGAGCCGATGGGTTCCTGCCCCCCGCGGGGATCATGCTCTTAATCCACTTGGCCTCAGCAGGGTGGTTGAAGCGGAGGAAGGTGGCCTGGCCCAGGCAGATGGTGCACCCTTGGGAGAGAGGAGAGAGGGCTCAGCTGCTAGCCGGCAATATCAGAGCGGTTCCAGAGAGCGCAGGGAGGCAGTCGGGCATTGCTCGCCCCAAGATGCGCCCTCGGGAAGGGAGCGGGCTCCCGCTGTCAGCAGAGGCTTAGGGGAGGCTGAAATCCAGGTCAGCGCAGCAGCTGCCGGCAGCGCATCCCAGGGCAGGCACAG